TAAATTCTCTTTTCTCTGTATATGTTACACTTACCATATATGTGTGTATAGTATAGCTACACTGCGTTTAAGATACATAAAGGAAGAATCAAGGAGACATATTCAAAGCGCCAAGTAACGGGCTCATGCTTTAGTTCAACAAACTAACTAGGATCTTACAGTCCTAATATCATCTATTTTATGAGCTTGAACCATGAAGCCATTGCTTGGCTTTCTATTATGTCTTCTTGACACATATATCCACATGCGAATGTATCTATGAAGACCTATAGTACATCATACATATGTATGTTTCATGTATGCAAACATCGCATCGCATGTTCTTAGGCTGAACTCTGGAGATATTACTGATTTCATTTAGGAGACTTCATCTGAGGCTCTATCACATGCATATAATTTAATGTTCTTTAAAACAACATACTCATATAAATTCAAAACTTTTTAAAAAGTAAGCAGTAAGAAAGGATTACTTAATTTTAGTTCCAGCTCTATGCTTACATTTGGGGAAATTGGAAATACTGTTTTATTTTTTAAAAAGAAATATTTCAAAGCACAACTTGCCGAGCTAATATTTTCTTGATTCCTCTTGACTCTTTCCATCTCTGGAGTGACACTTACGGCAGTTGCTCTGCCCAGCTGTCCCTTATAATGGACCTATTATTTTATGGAACAAAAAGAAGGTTCTGAACATTAATTTAACCAAGCCGTGAACAGACAACATTAAGTTATTTGCTTTCAGAGGACCATCGAGGAAAGTTAAAAAGGAAAGCTTCTGGTTGAGGCAGACACACGTCAGAATCATAAATCATTGTCTATTTGGATTCTTAATTCCCACAGCAGCTGTTATAACATGCCCATGTGTATGTGGATGCACTCCTCATGTGCGCATGTCATAGCGAAGCTAAAAAGCATATTATATTTAATCACAAAATGCTTTATTCCATAAGAATGTTCATAGAATGATTTTTCCCTGAATGGTAATTAAAGGTACCTTTTGCAATTGTCACTGTCTATAACAGCACCATTTTGCAGTGGATTATAAGCAATCAGTTACAGAGGAGGAACTTTGAATAAGGAATGACTTTAAACAGATCCCTCTCCCTACATGATCCATGAAGGGCATGAGACTTTTTGAATACTTATAGTTATTTAATATAGCTATAAGTATATAGTAATATTTATAGCTATTTATTTTTTCATCACCATTTCCTCTGCTCTTTATTGAGAGGAAACAGAGGCCACGTAGGGTGAAGCCAGATATATGGGTAAGAAGAGAGTCACTCTTCAAAACTTTAGTTATTAGAAAATATATTCAATAATATGATGTTTTAAATATAATTTTCCAAATGATTTTCAAAGAATCAAAGATTCCTAGGAAGATAATATATTTCAAAACCCGTGGGTCAAAAGAACATAGTAGAGGGCAGCTAGGTGGCACAGTGGATAAAGCACTGACCCTGGAGTCAGGAGGACCCAAGTTTAAATATGGCCTCAGATACTTACTAGCTATGTGACCCTGGGCAAGTCACTTAACCCCAAATGCCTCCCAAAAAAAGGATATAAAAAAAGATTTAAAAAGGATATAATGGATATTAGTGACTTTAAATGAATTTAAAGACTGTCAGGTACATTCGTGGTTTATGAAAATTGGAGGGAATCAAATGGACCATGGTAAAGATTTTTTAGTGATAACACAGTCCCTCTACTATCTTCTTTCCTAAAACAAGCCACTCTCCTTCACCTATGCATAAGATTTATGAATCTCTAGCCTGGATCCTGAGTCAAAGAAAATAAACAACCGCATAATGGCAGCCCCCATGAGAGAAATGACAATTGTGAGTAGATTGTTTGGGCAAGAGAGAGGCAAGTTAGAGTTCTGGGAAGATCCAGCTATACATGTGGTAAAAAGATACTGTGATGACAGTGGCGATAGCTGCTTAAGAAAGCTACCAACCTTTTTGGTTGGGGTTTGGAGGGGAAGGAGGGCAGAGAATCCATGTGAGTAGAAATAAAGTCAAGGCCTAAGGACAGCCAAGTATTATTATATAAAATCATGTATCAACTAGAGCAATAGAGAAACATGGCTGCCCTCTGTAGTTATGTTTTAAGGCCATTTTCTTGAATGCACACCACCATCTTTGTGTTACATCACCCTGGTAAACCCAATTCTTTCACTTAAATAGATCACATGTGACAATTCATGGAGGGGAAATGTTTCTAGCCAGATCACACATTGCTGATGTTCCTCTGGTTTTCTTTAACCCTCTTCAGCTCTGGCGGGTCAGAAATGGATGTGGCACATTTGGTTTCTCCTCGGTATTTCACCTGTGTGGTGCATAAGGCATCAGTGTTAGCAAATGTTCGAGAAACCATGAGATGTGGTCTTGGAAGCTAAGATAATAGTGCAATGAGGACAATGAATCTTCATAGTCAAAACAAACCATACAGAGATACCATGCATTTGTGTGAGTGTATGTGTATTTAGAGGTATGTGTATATAATAAATAATAATAGGCAGCATTCACATATGCCTTAAGGTTTGCAAAATGCTTTAAAGACATATTTATACTCATTTGATCCTTACAACAACCCTGGTGATAGTCGCTATTATTATGACTCATTTTACAGATTAGGAAACTGAGGCCAAAAAAGTTTAAGGGACTTGTCTAGGAACACCCAGTAAGTGAACTAGAGTCTTCCTGACTGCTCATCCAGTGCATTATTCACTATGCCACAGTGGAGACCATTCAATCAGTTGGTAAACAAGCATTTAAGCACTTAGTATATGCCAGATAAAGTGTTCAGTACTGATATATAATACATGCATATGTAGATGTATGCAAATTTAATTCAAATTTTAAAACCTGGTTTTTTTTCCCATATCTTATATAAATTAGTCAGGTAGCTAGATGGTGGAGTAGATAGAGCACTGGGCCTGGGTCAGCAAGACTCATCTTTCTGAGTTCAAATCCAAACTCAGACACTTACTAGCTGTGTGACTCTGGGCAAGTCACTTAACCCTGTTTGCCCAGTTTCCTCATTTGTAAAGTGAGATGGAGAAGGAAATGGCAAATCATTCTAGTATCTTTGCCAAGAAAACCCTAAATGGGATCACAAAGAGTTGGACGTGACTGAAAATGACTGAACAACAATAATATAAATTATTTAACTCTAAAGTAGTCTCATTAATGTAAGGGTGGGGAACCTGCAGCCTCGAGGCCATATGTGAACTTCTAGGTCCTTGGGTGCAGCCTTTTGACTGAATCCAAGTTTTACAGAACAAATCCTTTTATTAAGGGGATTTGTTCCATGATGTTTGGATTCAGTCAAAGGGCCACACTTGAGGATTTAGAGGGCCATATGAGGCCTTGAGGCCACAGGAGCCCCATCCCTGATGTAGACACATTGCTTAAACAACTCTGGCCCACCTGTCATTTTAAACTATTCCTTTTTCACCCAAAAGATACAATTTTTTGATAAATTCCTTAAAGGTCAATACTGAAGAGAATGCAAACTCTATAAATAACATTAATGAAAATGGAAGGTAGCACATTATAAAGGAAATGTTTAAAAGAAGCCATTGCAGTCAAATGGAGAGAATAAAAGGACTTGGAATCAGTTGGTACTAGAACCAAAGTTCTCAGATAGGCAATTTTTGAAAATCATTTTATTTTCTATTCTTTTCTATCATTTCCTTTCTCTGTGGCTCTTTTTGTCTCCATTTCTGTGTCTTTCTCTGTCTCAGTCTCTTGTATGCATCTGTCTATCCCTCACTTATGAAGCTAATTCTCCCTGTACCAATCTATTTCACAGAAATAGGATCAAGATAAATGTTATGGTGAAAGCTATAACTCAGATGTCATTCACATGTGTATTATCTAGAGGGAGAAGGCCATTGTGTGTTCTTGGGACAGTCTCACATATAGGAGGGCCATATAATCTGGAAAGGACAAATATTGGAAGATCCAGTTAGAAAAAAAAAGTCCCATGGTATTTTTGGTTTTTTGAAGGAAGGGGGAGAGGATAGCTTTCAAGTATATGAAGGACTACCATGTTGAAGAGGGATTAGTGTTATGATGTTTGGTCCTACAGGACAGAATTAGGGGTAATAAGTAGACATTACTAAGAAGCAAATTTAAGTTGGTTATAAAGAAAAAAAATCTTAAGTATTTGATGTATCCAAAATTGGAATGGGCAGCCTTGGGAGATAGTACATTCTTCCTCAATGGAGATATCCAAGCCAAAATTAGATGACCGATTGTTGGGAACATTGTAGAGGGGATTCTTGGTCAACTACTTGGTGGACTAGACGCAATTTCCAACTGTCAGATTCTGGGATTCAATGATTTTATCTTCCCTTTTTTTGTTAAACTATTGATATACTCCTCCTATATTGCCTCTTGGACTAGTATATTCTAAAGCTATTTTATTTGCCTTAAACTCTCCTCTTCCAAACTGCAAGCCATGCACTCTGGTGCTAGTATACTGCATGGCTTGTTTGTTTTTTTTTAAGTCCGTGTTCAAGTTACACATCCCCTTCATGATTCCATACACTACTATCATGGCTCATCACCACCCTGACTCTTCAGAGAAAAATAAGCTCTGATCTATTCTGGTCCATATTTAAAATCCCTCACTCTCCCTTGATAATTCTCATTAGGTCTCTCAGTGCTAGGACCTGAACTGCACAGGATTTTCCAGCTGTGGAGGGGCCATGATTTTGCATTCGAATTCACTTTCTTTTTCATTTGTCTAAACACTATTCTCTAGGACATCAATCAACGTGGAAACACTTTCTCCAGAGAAGCTAAAAAATCAATTCTCCTATAAATACCTGATAGCAATGATTCTCTCCTCCACCTTGGTGTATTCCTCAATAATAACATTTATATAGATAGCACTTCATGGTTTGCAAAGCATTTTCCTCAGGACAACTCTTTGAGTAGGTAGTACAGGTATTGTTATCTTCACTTTATATATAAAGAAACTGAAGCTCTGAGGGTTTGGGAATGGCTCATGATCACATAGCTACTAACTGCCTGTAGGTGGAATCTGATCTAGACCTAACTCCAACTCCAAAACTATTACATCACAACATTAGCTCCAGTCAAGAGAGATAGCATGTATTTAAAAATATCAGGATGGCTCGGAAGTGCCATCACCATGGGTACCCTCCCCTGGATCTTTATTCCTTAACCCTGACCCAGGCAGCCTAGAATCCATCCAGGATGTTTGATTGTTTACAAAGCAAGAATAAGGTGGGAGTGACCAATTCTGTCCCTTCCAGTGAGTTGGAGGGTCACGGGACCTTGCCAGCCTACACACTACAGACCTCTGGAACTATTATCTGATCTACTGGTGAACCTAAGGACCCCTGGGCCTTGCCATATGCCCCTTTGCTACACCTTTAGCCTTATAGACCTTTCCTTCTGACCTCTAGCTGACCTTTCTTTTATAACTTGTCTCCTTCCCTTAGAATGTGAGCTCCTCAGGAGCAAAGACCATCTTACTTTTCCTATTTGTATCCCCAGTTCTGGGGCCATCTCCAGTCATCCTGATCTATACTTTGCCACTGGATCCAGATGGCTCCAGAGGAAAAAGTGAGGCTGGTGACCTTGCACAGCCCTCCCTCACTTACATCCAATTCACTTGCAAATCATGGCATCACCTTTCTAATGTCGCGGTCCTCTTTGAGAACAAAGGGCAAACAATAACAATCCCCAATATTTATCACAGTGCTTAGTACAGAGTACGTACTTAATAAATGTGTTATTTATTCATTCATTCACATCTAGTTCAGGTCCTCCAGGATGTTAAAGGAACAAAAAAGTAGAATCCAAAGTATCTAACGCTATCATAAACCAAACCATCAGATTTGATCACACTACCATTTTTCAAAAAAAAAAAATCTCTTTTTTTTTAAATTTTGATAAAGAAAGTCTCAAACCACTCACCATGCTGAGATGCTCCTGGTTCCTCTTCACTCTCTCGATCTCTGGAGTCATGCAAACAGGGGTAGCTTTGTAGTTCTGCTCTCTATACTGAAACTGAGAAACAGGGTACAAGGCATTTAAGTATGCAAAATAAAAATATGATAATACTTTAGTAGAGATAAAAGGAAAACATACGTGGCTATGGCTCATTAGTAAAATTTTCATTGGGATTTTACAGTAAATTCTCATTAGCATTCCTGTCCGCCTAATGTTTCTACCTGCTAGGCTTTTATTTGCCCCGACATTCCCGATTTCTCCTTTTTGGTTCCTACCCTATGAATTCCAGCTATCCGTGGGTTAATTCTCTGGACCTCATCCTATCAATGATGATATAAAAAAACAACCATTTCCTCACTTTTTGGAGTAACACCTAGCCATCTACTACTTGCTATCTTCTTAATAATTCATCACTGCCTCATCATCTAACAACCACTTATCAAGTATCTGCTAGATGCAAAGAATCATGATAGCCCAGAAGATTTTCAAATGCAGCCCTGCCTCCGCTGTGAACAACCAATCCAGCGGCACTCTCTCTTCCTTCTTAATGCATTGCCTGCAAAATTCTGCCTTTCAACAGCTCCATCCAATGCCCTGACATTATGGGACTTTGCCCCCCCCCCTTTGGGCAAAGGGAGTTGTACTCTGTTGGAGGGATGAAACTTACCAACTTTTGGTACATTTTCACTGTCACACCAAAATAATCCACAAAAGGAAAGAATGCTTAAGCACTCAGTAAAACATAAAACAGCATGCTCCTTTTTAAAAAAAAATTATTTTTTTTCAATTTTTTTCAATTTAATTTTAATTAATTTTTTAAATTTATGGAATTAAACAGCATGCTCTTGAAATTAGTATAGATTTTTTTTAATAAAGCAAAGAATAGCGATAGGTAAAATCCCATTAAAATGAATTCCATAAGGAATACTTAATGCTTTCTTGAAGTGGGAATTCGGTTGCTGTGGTTTATTTGTTCTTTCACAGTTTTATCCAACAGGGGCCTGGGCCTAATGTTGGGACAAAGCCCAGGCTCCCTGTAACATGTCTAATGTTATTCACTCTTCTTTCTTTCTGTAAATAAATGCACACACACACACACACACACACACCAATTCAGAAATTTAAGTAAATTTCTAAATCTCTGATGTTTGAGACAGAGGAAAAGTTGATTTAACAAATGAAGTGAGGAACTATAATGGCTACTGAATGGTTGAACAACAGAACTTCCAATATTTGCCCTCCTCTTCCTCTTCTGCATCCAAAGCACAATCAGGCACCTTCATTAGAGAAAATGGCTACTTCATGGAGAGAAACCAGAATAAAAGTATTTCTGTGTAACCTCAATCTGTTAAAAAAAAAAAACTAACTAGAACAGCAAAGCAATATTACTATAGGCAATTCCAATGGAACATTTGTTTTCCTCATAATAATTCACATTAAATACCTCCTAATTTACAAACCTCTTGCGTTGTAACACCCCTATGAGAAGAACAGTAAAAGTGTTATTATCCCTATTTTGCATATGAAGGATTAAAGGCTCAGAAAGAAAAAAATACTCATAGTAATGGGATCACACATTGCTGATGTTCTTCTGGTTTTCTTTAACTCTCTTTAGCTCTGGAAGGTCTGAGATAGTCGTTGCCTGCTTTATTTCTTCTTTATATTTCACCTGTGTAAGGAATGCAAAATATAATCTTGGGCTTTTTTTTTTTCACCAAAGCAATGCCTCACAAATGTTTTCAAATTTTTCTTCCATTTTACTTGTGTTATTAAAAAGTTCATTTCCAAATATATGACAAATAAGTCCAAAACTGACTCTAGATTTTCTGATGGTTCTAAAACTCCTTTCCCTCATCATTCAATTGTCTGCTCACTTATTTGTTTTGTTGTTTGTTTAAGGCTGGGTCTCCCTGTGTCATCCTAGCTAGAAGAAGCAGCAGTCACTTATGGGCTTTACTGCAACACAGATCTCCATGGAGACTTTAACTTCCTCTGTTTTTCTAATCTCCTCCAGCTCATCTCTCCTTAGGTACCCTGGTGGCCCTCTGATGCTGGTCATTGATGCCAGAATTAGCCAAGACACCTAACTGACTTTAGCCAAATTGAAGTGTAGAATTACCAAGACCAAGTAATCTACCAGTCTCAGCCTCCCCAGCAGCATGTGTGTGCCATCATGCCTGGCAAAGATTTCTTCTCTCAATGAATAAATGGACCTATATCTGGTTTCCTACTGCATATTTTAAGAGTTTTATCAGAATGAATATGTGAAACAAACATATTTTACCTGACCTTATAATCAATTTTATCAGACTTTTTGATGTTCAGAAGCATTTGCAATGAGTCTATTTTTGCATATTAAATAGCTATGAGAAATATCTTCCTTTTTGTACTTTTTACAAAATGTTGACAATATCTTTTTTTTCCTATAGAAAGGTAAGTTTTAAAATCAATTCTTATTTTCTATAGAAAAAAGAATGAGTTTCTCTGTTAATTTGTTGATATGGAAATAAGTAATTATGACAGGTTGAGAGGATCAAGGTCAAATTGAATTAGTTATGAATTTACTTAAACCTTGTCTGCATGAGCTATAGCACTCAGCATCAATATGAACCAAACAAGGAAAAGGAAAAACTGATAAAATGTCTAGGGGAAAAAAACAGAAAATGGAACCAATTTTTAAGTACCAACAACCTCTTATGCTATATTCCTACATATAGCAAGCCAAGCCAAGACTATAAAGGGAATAAGACAACTTTCATCACTTGAACAAGTAAATGTACACATTACCAAAGACATCAATAGGCACTTACAAACCTAGCTTCAACTCCATTCAAGAGAACTTCCTCCCCTCCTGCAATTAATTCAATAATGATAATAATAATAATAATAATAGTTAGCAGTGTCCATTATGTGCCAGGTATTGTGCTAAGCACTTTAGAAATATTATCTCATTCTGTCCTCACAGCAACCCTGGGAGGTAGGTGCTATCACTAGCCTCATTTTACAATTGAGGAAACTGAGGCAAACAGAGGTTAAATGACTTGTCCAAGATCACATGCAGTGTCTGAGGTCAGATTTTAATTAAGATTTTCCCTGAGTCCAGGCGCAGACCTTCATCCACTGCAATACCCATTTGCCTCTATTCAGAATGAGATTAAGGAGATTGGTTACAGCTCGATAACACATTTATGCACGAGATGAGAGGTTGGCTATAAAATTGCATAATGACTTCAGTTGCCATCACATCATGCGGTATTTTGGTTATGTCTAAAGCCCATGGTATGTGAGATAAGAGAGAACATGAATGAGAAAAAAGGGATATTATATTTGTAACAAATTATGAGCTGGATTTGACAGGGGTGTGTGGAAATTTACCAAAGATCGAACTCAAGCCAAAACTCTTTAGAAATCACCAGGGACCATTGAGAATAATCGAGGCTGGAATTCAGGTCCTGATATGGTTCGAGGGTTTTTCTGGAATAATGCATCTGCAGGAATACCTACAGATGTAATATTATTAAAAGACCAAAATTAGGCCCAAAACCAAAACAATTAGTTTTATAGGCTCGTAGAGCCTGTGTAACTAGCCATAAAATTCACAGAATAGTTTGTTTTTTGTTTTTTTTTAGTGAGGCAATTGGGGTTAAGTGACTTGCCCATGGTCACACAGCTAGTACGTGTCAAGTGTTTGGTCTGAGGCCAGATTTGAACTCAGGTCCTCCTGACTTCAGGGCCGGTGCTCTATCCACTGTGCCACCTAGCTGCCCCCAGAATAGTTCTTAACTGAGAAACCTAGATGATTTAAAAGACCATCTACCCCAGAGGTAGAAAATGTCGAGATCTTTCAATGTTAGAGAATCATATCTTGACTTGACATTGTTTGTTAATGTCCAAAGGGTAACTTTTCCACTTGAATACTAAGCCAGAGTTTATGGGAAGAGCCCAGAGAAAAAGATATAGGACTTTACTTGTTTACTCCATGCCACTGAGATCCAGTATAAAAGATAATGTCCCATTTGGTGTGGTTTTTCTTAGATTATAAACCAAATATCATTTAAAATAATCCCTCTGGTGCTTCATTATGCTCATCAAAATAATAGACATATCATTTCATATATACACACACATACACACATCATGTTGATGCTGAAACTTGTCAGTGAAGGAAGGCTTAAAATATTCTGACATAATAAATAGATTTGCATATTTTTAACATGCATAGAGACAACATAACATAGTGGAATGAGTACTGGGCTTGTAGTGAGGATAACCGTTTCAAACGCACCTCTGACACTTAATGGCTACCTAACCTTAGAGGTAGCACACAGAGATAACCTCTATGGTCCTCTGGCAGCTACTAAGTCTTGGGTTTTGGTCTGTCGGCTGTAGATATGTGTTAATGAGGGACTAATAAGTGCTTAATATTTCTTTTTCATTCAATGCACTCATGCATTCCTTATGATAATGAAATCAAGATCCTTCACCTACATTTTAAATATTTTAGAAAAAATTGACCTCGAGTGTTTTTGCCTTTTCTCCTACAGCAACTTATTTTATCCATCCTTAGTCTTACGCTCCAGTTCTCTCTCCTTATAAACTGGATAGAACCCAACGACAAACTAGTGCTATATCAGAAAGACACCAGGTATTTCACTACGCTTGCCTGTTCCTACTAGGCATCCAACTGATGTCTGCCTAAGGAACATTAGTTTGTTTGACAAATGATGTATCCCTCTGTTAGCCCAATTATTTGTATGTGATGGTTCATTTCTGGAGTAGTTTTACTCTTCTCTTACACTGTCCTTCCTAGTCTCCCCTCTTAATGCCTGAGGACCTCCATAATTCTTATCTTAGAAGGTCATAGAAAGACTAACAATCTCTACACTCAATCTTGTAGCAGATTTATTGGAACAGTTTGAAACTGGACACACCAAGGGAGTGCCTACAAGCCACCTGGGCTCTAAAGGTATTTATAGTCTGAGTATGTGTATTGGGAGATATGGTTTAGGAAGGCAGGACAAAGGAATCATTAAAGAGCTTTAAGATTATTACCAGTACTACTAATAATAATGACAACAGCAATGATCCTAATCACAATAATTACTAGAAATAGAGACTGGATCTTGCAGTTTCATTGATGGAAAAAACTCCACTTATGCAAGTTGTCATCTTCTCTGTAAATATGGAATTAAAGAGTTATCAGAGTACATGAAGGTTAAGTGAATGGCTCAGGCTTCCATAACAGGTATGTGTCAGAGGTGATACCTAAGACCCCTGACGTTGGCTCTCTCATTTTATATAGCAGCACTTTTTACTTTTCTATTTGAAACTAAACATACAAAAGAAGACCCAGAAATAGTTGGAAATTTTTAACTTTGTCATTCATTGTAAAATGCTACACAGAAATTAAAGGTTACTATCACTGCAAACATCTTTTTTTTTCCTTCTTCTTTTCAAAAGGAAATGAGATGGGAGCTGGTTGGAGAGGGGAGGACATATTTGTCTGGACATAAATTCTCAATGTTATAACTCCCTCCCTATAGAGGAAGTACGGAAATATCACTATAACTTGGAGTCTTCAAGTGATGCCTAGGCCACGCCACCCATAGTTTATGTGACTACCCTATGATTGATCTGAGGAAGGATTTGAATTCTGGTCTTCCTCACCCCAAAGCTGGTCCTCTATCTACTACGTCACACTGCCTCTCAACAGAGAGCAAAATTGTTCATTGCTTTTTCTCTTGAAGAAAAAGCCATGAGAAGCATGTCCAGAAAATGTCAATGTCATAAGAAGGAGAAGGAATTTTTCTTGCAAAATTTAAGCCAGAAGATAATGCAACAAATAAATGTTTAGGCCTTTAATTCATTCTTTCGATGGAATCTTTCCTTTCCCCTCCCCAAGCAGTTGTATTGCTATTGAAATTCCTCCTTACGCTGCAAAAGAGTCAACGTAGCTACAATTCTGTTCTGAAAGATGAAATCTCATCATAAATTTCATTACAGTGTTATTACAATGATATTTCTTATGTACTATAAGATATCAGAATGAAACACTGCCTCTGGTTCAAAAGGAGCAAAGCACCATGGCTTTCATACCGAGTGCTCGACCTCTGAAATGTTATGAAGAAGCATTTAAATGAAGGATGTGATAATTTTTAGACCAATCTGTTTAGTAAACAATCTGAAGGCATTTATCTGGCTGTTTGCTTTTTAAAAAAAGGATAACTGATTCTGCTGAGAACTTACTGAACTAATATTCTGCTGATTTTTCTTGACTCGTTCCATCTCTGGGGTCTCTTTTACAGCTGTGCCAGCTCCCACTCCTTTCTTATAAAACACCTTTATTACAAGAGAAGAAAAAATAACTATCAGCCTATTAAGATTTCAAGTCCTTAGACCAATTTTGCTAAAAGAAAGGTAATCTTCCATATTTTACAATAGTAATAGCCTTCAGGCCAAATCCACAGATAAACTCTCACATCAGCCTCACGCTTCAGTACTATTAAAACATGACTCAGATTATAACTATTTGCAACTGATTCTCTCTAATGAGAAAAAAGTCAAATCAGGTCCTCTGTTCACAAAGACCAGGCATGTTTATAAAGATACTTGGAGGAAATCAAAACCTATACCATAAAAACTCATGAAACTATTATTAGCCATTTTTCTGAAATAGCATGAAATTCAAAACAATTCTCATTCCCCAGCCAAATAGCTACTTTACTCGTCTTTAAATTAAATTTTACATAAATCAAACCTAGTTAATCCAAAGTCTATTTTTCCTAACTTTCCACCTCCTCCTGAATCCTCTCTTCCCATCACTCCCACTTTCAATCCTCCATAGAAATATGGAACATTGCAATGAAGGCATATGTGCATAACAAAATTATTCCCCTTTGTGCCATGTTTGAGATTTCAGAGCTTACTGGCAGAACAGAGTGAAGGACATTTCAACTACAGTAGAAGTTGTCTCTGGAAGCTTCCATTTCATAGAGCCTGGTCAAGTCTAAGATATTTCCCTTTCCCTTCTCCTCTCAGAGTTCTGGCATCCAAAATGATTTTTTTAGATAACTGAGCTCTGCTTGTATCTCCTCTGTAAAGGCAGCATGTAACCAATGTGTTTCTGAGCACACACACATATGAGTGCACCAGGATCAGTGTTGGGAATTTGCCAATTGCTTGGAAAGTAGAAAATACTTTAGAAGTCCTTGAAATTAACACTCTCGATGACAATGAGTATTTGCTTAACTGGGTAACCTTAAAATCAACAAAATGTTAAGATCTGAAAGGTACTTCAGAGGTCTAGTTCAATGCCTTCATTTCACCAATAAGGAACTGGAGGCTTAGAGAAACCAAGTGATTACTTCATTTCTACTATCACAAGTAACAGCTGTTGTTTGAAAGAATAAGTTTTCCCTGCATAATGTTGTCCTACCCTACGCTGTTTTATAGCAATATGATCAGTGCTTTCTGACCAGCCCAATTGTAACACCTTGAAACCCTGTCATAATGGCACTGGGCAGTAAAGAACCTGACCATAATCCAGTGAGCACTTGAGGCTCAGGGTCAATAACTGTTGCCGTATGGTTTAGAAGACATGTAAAAATTTTATACTTACATAGTTTCTGGTACCCCCTTGTTTCACCCAATGGCATGTTGTTTGCAAGATTATTTTACAGTATTGGGGGAATTCCTATAGCACAAGGTTTGTATTTTTTATATTTTTGTGAGTGTCATAGACTTCTGTGATATTGCAGGAAGGTTTATGGACCCCTCTCAGAATAATATTGGTAAATAACTGAAGGAAATGCTTTATTTCAATTAGAGGTTAATTTTTTTTCTCATCCAAGATCCCCTGAAATCTATCCAAGGGGACCATCTATGCACTGCAGGTTAAGAACCCCTGCTATGGCAAGTAGGACTTTGCCAGAAAAAGATCAAAAGGCAAAAATGTACTGTCCTTGTTAAAAATAACATGGAATGCTTTCTACTCACCGTGCTGATGTTTTTCTGGGCTGTCTTGATTCTCTGTATTTCAGGAGTATCTGCCACTGTTGAATAGTTAGTCAGCATTTTCTCTGCTTGATCTTTGTATTTTTTCTTTTGTTAAAAAAGTGGAAACATTTAAAATTAATATGATGTTGACTTTCCCCAAATCTACTTTGATATGTGGACATTATATTCCAAAGTAGCTCTTGTCATAAAATAAAATAAGTTAAAAGTCTCCACATTTAGTGCCATCTTTATTCTCCAAAAAGTCTCACTGGCTATCTAACTGAGGACAAACATCTTTTGTGGGGTGGGGTCTGTAGGCACTCCCTTGGTTTGTATCTAATCTTTCTAGAATAATTCTTGTCCTTTATCCCCAAACCTCAAATCATAATCAGTGAGGGCTCTCACACCTAGCCATCACTCTAGATAATTTAAGGACATGAGTCTGGAAAATGACACGACCTTAGATGCCAATGTCCTCTTCCTTAAGGTTTTAAGAGAAGAAGGGAAAGACAGTTGTTTAAAGGCAAAACATTTTGTGCATCTCAGGAATTACACTATACCCCTCCATTCTTTGATCCATTTTAAAGAGAGAGATTTCAGGTATTGATGATAAACGAAAGAACCTGATGACAGTGGCTAGATGGTACAGAGAGCAATCCAAAGGAGTCAAAGAAATAAGACAAACAAGTTTTAGAAAGAACGAGACCAATGGAAGTAAATAAAACTATGAATGAGAGTCTGATATGTTTCTCATTAAAATTTTTTCAGCTATCTAGACTGCCCTGCACTGATGCAACCTGCTTAATGCAAGATACCATTGTGAATTATAACTGAATAAATTTTCTTAAGAATCAATAGTGTAGTAAAAACCAGCAATCTGGTACAACTCAGCATTATTCTGAGGTGGTAACCTTTCTCTGCAAACTCAAAATGTATAGTCTCCAATGACTTCAGCTCTGCAAATGTCAGTAGAGTCAACTGCTGTTTTTTTCACATGCCAAAATGATTCACTGAGGGTTATTCATAAGCCTTGGGGACCCTCATCCCGTCCTTGCGTCTACTTAATGGGTAAAGAATTAATACTCTCTCTTCCTTTGGTTTCAGAAACTGAAAATGGAACTTTGTCTACTGACAGTTCAGTGATATTCTGTCTACAAGAAACTGGCAATTAAGCTACTTAAAAAGTCACCTCTCACGAGCAATAGAAAGAAATGCTGTTTTTTATCTCCTCAGCCTCTTCACTAGATTGTATACCACAGCAAGTTTATTTGCTACAGATATAGCATCAAACCAGCTGGGTTATTAGGGTATTTATCCATAATCATGTCCCCTTCACTACAAATTAAACAAAGACAGTGATGAGAGCAATGGATATTAAAGTAACAAGGTAAATGTAACTTTAAAAAAGTACAAAAAGAAACACAGCAAAGGGATCGGATAAAACCACGGGGGCTCCAGCATTCAGCCTTAATCCAATTTCTGCTATTTATATGGTCCCACAATGACTCAAAATGAGAGCAGATGGTAGAGTGAGGTAGTGCAAAGAATACTGGCTTTGGAGTCAAAGGACCCAGGCTCAAATCCCACTTCCTTCCTTACTGCCTATGGGATTCTGGGTAAATTATCAAACCTTTCCAGGCCTCAGTTTCTAATCAATAAAATGAAAGAATTGGACTTCATGGCCTCTAAGGTCTCTTCCAGCCCTTGGCCCTATGACCTATTCATGGCAAGCCAGTATGTTAATGCAAGCAATTGCAAGTGGCCTTCCTGGCCTTTTGCCCAATTATGGAATAATCATTGTTCATAAAGTGGAATTCCTGGTTGGGGAGGTGGGGAACACACAAAGACAGATGGGTCATCAGAACACGTAACACTCAATGCTTTCATTCTTGGCCTACCTGGCTGTAGATTTCAGACGCTCTCTTGGCTCGCAGCATATCAGGGATATCCATGCTCACTTGCATTCCTTTCCCTTTAATTTCGTTTTCCAGATCTCTCTTGTATTCTTTCTAAGAGGTCAGAATGGAGTTTGAAGATCTTGGTTTAGTGTCCGTTTGGAAGAATAACCGTTATAATATATACATTTGATTTTTGCTCACACCTGTTTAACAAACTTAACCCATAGGAATAGATCCAATGCTGAGATTTCCTATTTTATTGCAAAGTACATACAGCTTTATTCAATTTACAAAGTTTTCTTTTTTTCTCCTCTACTTACCTGGCTTGCCATTTCAGATGCTTTCTTAGCGCGCTGGATGTCAAGAGTATCAGTGCCCACTTGCATCCCTTTGCCTTTAATTTCTGTCTCCAGATCTCTTTTGTATTCTTTCTGTGAAAAACAAAAGGAATAAGTTTACCTCTACAAAGCTTTTAATTTAAAAAAGAAGAAAGAAGAAAACCAAGTTATTAGTATCTAAAATGAAAGGGGTGATTGCACTACTAATGGAGATGAAATTAAAACAATTATTAGGAGCTATTTGCCCAATGATATGCCAGTAAAACTGATAATCTAAGTAAAATTGATATTTACAAAATATAAACTGCCCAGATTAATGAAGAAATTGAATACTTAACTATGTCTTAGAAAAAGAAATTGAATAAGCTATCAATGAGCTCCCTAAGAAAAAATCCCCAGGACCTGATGGATTCATTAATGAATTCTACCAAACATTTAAGGAACAATTAATCACAATACTATATAAATTCTTTGAGAAAATAAGGAGTCCTACCAAACTCTTCTTATGACACATGTATGGTTTTGATACCTAAACTAGAAAGAGCAAAAAGAGAGAAAGAAAACTATAGACCAATTTTCTTAATGAATACCGATGCAAAAAAATTTAAATGAAATACTAACAAGGAGATTACAGATATATATATATATTACAAATGGTATATACTACTACCAGGTGAGATTTATATTAGGAATGTAGGATTGGTTCAACATTAGGAAAACTATCAGCATAACTGATATCAGTAACAACAAAAAATATGAGTATCTCAAAAGATGCAAAAAAATGCTTCTGACAAAATACAAAACCAATTCCTATTAAAAACACTAGAGAGCATAGGAATAAAGGGAGCTTTCCTTAAAATGATGAGTAGTGTCTATCTAAAACCTTCAGCAAGCATTGTCTATAATGGGGATAAGCTAAAAGCCTTCCCAATAAGATCAGGGGTCAAGCAAGGATGCCCATTATCACCACTATTCAATATTGTACTAGAAATGTATATTTCTAGCAATAAGAGAAGAAAAGAAATTGAAGGAATTCAAATAGGCAATGATGAAACAAAATTACCACTCTTTGCTGATATGATGATATACTTTGAAAATCCTAAAGAATCAACTAAAAAAAACTAGTTGAAATAATTAACAACTTTAGCAAAGTTGCAAGATATAAAATAAACTCACATAAATCATCAGCATTTCTATATATTTACCAACAAAGTCCAGCAAAGAGATAGAAAGAGAAATTCCTTTTAAAATAACTTTAGACAATATAAAATATTTGGGAGTCAACCTGCTAAGACAAACCCAGCAATTTTATGAACACAACTACAAAACACTTTTTACACAAACAAAATCAAACCTAAACAATTAGAAAAATAGTAATTGCTCATGGGTAGTCCCAGTCAATATAATAAAAATTATAATTCTACCTAAATTAATTTACTTATTCAATGCCACACCAAACTACCAACACATTATTTTATAGAGCTCAAAAATCATAACAAAATTCATCTGAAAAACAAAAGGTCAAGAATATCAAGGAATTAATAAAAACAAAAGTATGCCTAGTCAGACCAGATTTCAAACTGTATTATAAAGTGGTAATCATCAAAACTATCTGGTACTGGCTAAAAAACTGAGCAGTGGATCAATGGAATAGGTTAGCTACAAAGACATAGTAAATGATTATAGTAATCTAGTGTTTGATAAACCCAAAGACTCTAGCTTTTGGGACAGGAACAGACTATTTGACAAAAACCATTGGGAAAATTGGAAAACAGTTTGGCAGAAAATATGCCTAGACAAATATCTCACACCATATAACAAGATAATGTCAAAATGGAAAAAAGATTTAGATATAAAGGGTGATATCTTAAGTAAATTAGGGCACCATGGAAAATGTACCTGTCAGTTCTATGGATAAGACAAGAGTTTATGACCAAACAAAAGAGAGAGGATCACAAGAAGTAAAATGGGTAATTTTAATTACATGAAATTAAAAAGCCTTTACATAAACAAAACTAATGTAGTAAGAATTACAAGGAAAACAGGAAACTGGGGAGGGGGAATTTGCAACAAATTTCTCTAATAAAGTCCTCATTTCTCAAATAAATAGGGAACTGATCTAAATTTATAAAAATAAGAGCCATTCCCCTGTTGACAAATGGTAAAAGGATAAGAAAAAGCAGTTTTTAGAAGACAAAATCAAAGCCCGTAACAGTCACATAAAAAATGTTTTAAAGCAATATTGATGAGGGAAATGCAAATTAAAACTCTTAGATACCACCTCATACTTAGCAGGCTGGCTAACACGACAGAAAAGCAAAATGACAAAAGCTGGAGGGTATGTGGAAAAATTGGGACACTGATGCATGCTAGTGGAGTTGTGAAACTGGTCCAACCATTCTGGAGAACAATTTGGAACTATACCAAAAGGACCATAAAACTGTAAAAAGCCTTTTAACCAGCAATACCACTACTGAGTCTGTACCCCAAAGAGATAGTAATGGGAAAAGCACCTATTTGTACACAAACATGTATAGCAACTCTTTTGTGGTAGAAAATAATTGGAAGTCATGGGGATGCCCATCAATTGGGGAATGACTGAATAAGTTGTGATATACGATTGTGATGAAATACTATTATGCTATGAGAAATGACAAGCAGGATGATTTCGGAGAAACCTGGGAAAATTTGTGTGAATTCACGCAAACTATAGTGAACAAAACCAGGAGAAAATTGTATACAATAACAGCAATATTGTAAGGATGATCAACTCTGAAAGATAAGACAAGTATCCAAGACAATTCCCAAGGACCTACGATGAAAAATGCTATCCACCTCCAGAGAGAGAATGAACTCTAAATTCAGGTTGGAACATACTTTTTTAACTTTATTTTTATTGTTTTATTTTATTTATGGGTTTTTTTGCAACATGGCTAATATGGAAATATTTTTAGTATAATTGAAATCAAAGTGACTGCCTTCTCAAGGAGCAGAGAATATGGGAGGAAGGGAACAAATCTGAAATTCAAAATTTTTAAATGATTGTTTAAAAAATTACATGTAATTGGGAAATACGAAATAAATAAAAATAATTTTAAAAAATAAACTCATGGGGAATTTTACCCTTTGAAAACCTGACCATGAATTGGTTGCTCCAAAAAGATGAAGTCCATAGCTATGATTATTCACCGTACTAACCTGGCTTGAGATTTCAGAAGCTTTTTTGGCTCGCTGTATGTCAAGGGCATCTGTGCCAATTTGTGTTCCTCTCCCTTTAATTTCAGTTTCCAGATCTTTCTTGTATTCCTTCTGTGAGGGAATGATATTTTAAACACTCAGATAACATTTATATCATGCATATCTCAGGAACAGAACCATCTTAGAAATTTAGAAAAATGATACTTTTTTTTAAACCACACAATTCATCTCCATCATGGATCATGACAACAAATCGTCACAACTCTTTGGAATACACTGCCATCATACTGATGTCAGGATCCTAAGTGGAAAGTTAGTTGCCAATGCCAGAACTTAATTTTCAAAAGTACAAGAATGGCCACACCCTTGATTCCCAACGAGGCCAGGATGAGCCCTCCTTCATCCCTGCCACTGGGCCCAAGGTACCCTCCTTGCACCAGTGCCTCCATCTCAAGGGACCTTGAAGTAAAGCCCTTCACAATTAGGCTCCAGCCTGCCTTCCCAGGCTTCCTTCCTATGCTCTCCTTCATGCCCTCGGTAGTCCAGGTCCAGACTGACCTACCTTCATTTCCTCAAATACAACATTCCATCGACTGTCTGTGTCCCTTTCCACAGGTTGCAATGTGTAATTACATCAATGCTCAGAATATACTCATACCTTATTTTTCCTGGCCATACATTCCTCCAATGACATCCTTTACACCATTTCTCCAATGTAATTCCTCATTTTAATATGGGTTCACATCCACAATGATCTTCTCCTATTACCAACTAGGTGATTCCCAGCTTCAATTCTTTGTAAACTTTAATTCCATGACTTAAAACCATTTAATGTTACAAGAAGAGTATTAGTATTAAGAAGATGGGCTTTTATTTCAAAGGGAAGTTTGGAGGCATTTATAAAAATGCCTTACTCTTCTCTTCCTATTTAATTCTGGATAATAGAACCCTTTAAACTCTTCCTATATCATTATCAGAGGATGAGCCAAGGCATGAGATAAAGAGAGGAGTAATATTGACATTCAACATCTATTAGAAACATGATGGTGTAGAGGCCATGTCAAACATGGACTGAACCAGATTAAAATGTAATTTTATTATATTTATTAATAAATTTTAATATTATTACATTAGTATAATAATTATTACATTAATAATATTAAACTAAATAAATATAAATGCAATAGAACAGATGGTATTAATAGGCGGTTTTCTATGTCAGTATGTGGCCCACAGGGATTGTAATATACAGTTCAGTTGTCCCTATTTCCATTTGAGTTTGACACCACTAGTATGGTTCATAGAGCACTGGACTTGGAGTCAAGAAGACCTGAGTTCAAACCCTGCCTTTGACACATACTATCTTAACATAGCTCCTCCAGCACCATTGCATCAGAAAAATATATTCTATATTTTGGTAGCATAATTATAGGTAGAGAAATAATGCTATAAATAAATACAGTATATGATATAATAAATATAATATAATTTATAATATACAAATAAATAATGGAGATATTTTAAATTATCTTCTATGCTAAAAAGTCAGTTTCTACGACCAACATTTCAACAAGTTCAAATAAAAAGGGAAAAAGGGAAACATTTTGTAAATTTGGTATACGAACCTCACTTGCCATTTCAGATGCTCTTTTTGCTCTCTGAATGTCAGGGATCTCTGAACTAAGTTCCATTCCTTTCCCCTTTATTTCATTTTCCAGATCCTTTCTATATTCTTTCTGTAGGAAAAGAATGTTCAATTTCAAGACAGGAAATATCATTTTAAATGATGGAATACTTTAAACCTTTTTTTATAGGGTGCACTGAGAGAAGAAAAATGTGGTGGAGTAATTCAGACTGACTAGTGTTAATGTTCCTTATTTCATTTCTGGACGCATTTCCCAGTCTAATCAAGTCCAGAAGATTCTCCAGTACTGTCAATCTTTATCCTTTCATCCCTTCTCCCAATTTTTTATGTCCCATAGTCGGTGATAAAAAAAAGATGTCTCCACTTTAAACGGTGCATGAGATCTTAAGAAGACACGCTTCTTATTAATTATTTGAACTGTTTCTTTGAAAACCCTCTATAAAATATGAATCACCTGAAGTATGTAGCTGACAAAGAATGAAAAATTACAAATCAAAAGATATAATGTATCCCAAGTTTAAAAAAAAAAGTATGGATTCATTTTAGCCACTGAATGTTTCTATCCTCTTTGAAAAACCTATCATCTCTTATACCTTGATTTATAGACTGATGTTAAAGCAATTAAAATATCTTCATTCTATCTGAATAAGTGAGGTTATTTCTATAAACAGAAATGGGCTTCGATAGAGCTGGATGTTTTTGAAAATTCAACTTAGAAAGAACAAAATTTTGTCCCCAATTATACTTCAGTAACATCAATACTGTAAAATACTGAATTCTCAAATGCAAGCCAAGACTTCCTTTAATGATCAGAATTTATGTTCCAGTTGAGTGAATGATTCATTTTCTCCCTTAGTCCCATCTTCAGTTCAATGTACTGGGATATTAACTGGTATTCAACTTAGCTAATGTCCTGTCAGATATTACACTATTGAGTTTGTATTCATTTATTTTTCAGTGAAAGAGCCAGAGAAATCAATAAAAGCAAAGTTAATTTAGACCTAAGTGCCAAGACTTTGAAAGAGCTTTCACTTCCATTTCACTAAATAATTAAGATTTCCTTTGTGAAAGAAAATAAACTAGCAGCTTTGTAATTTAGTTAAAAGATCATTTTTGATGTCCTAACTTTCTGAAATTTTTTCATAAAATTCTCATATAAACAAATGGAAATTCTAAGAAATAGGTAGGACTTGAAACCATATGGCTAAAATCAGATTCACTTAATGCCATTATGGCACGGTTGCACTTTTGGTTATTCAAAGCTAAACCCCAGAGTGTAAGTTCCAGTAGGTTCTAAGAATTTGGAAAGTATTCACATAAAGGCCTGAAAAAACGATTATACGTATTTCTACCATCCAAGGACCAGCTTAGCTCAGTTTAGAGAGACTCATCACCAAAGGGCTAGCCAATAAGTACTGCTGTTGTCAACTTAGCAACTCATGAGGGATGGAAAGGAGCTGTAATCAGAATTAGTAGTGGGCACACCCACACACATCAAAGTCAGAATGTGGGATGGTTTTGGTAATGGTAAAGCATGGTAATGGTAAAGAATGTTTGACTTTCAAGTCATTTGGGGGTCATGCAGGAGCTCAAGAATTCACAGGATTTTATTGTGTGTACTTTTCAATGAGCCCCATTTTAAAATTTCAAATAAGTAAACTTCCTTAATATCCTTGACCTCTTTTTAACTTCCTAGCTCTGAGACATTGCCTTCCCTAGAGGAAACCTTGTCCAGCAACCTTGTCTAATCACATGGCTTCAACTATCACATTTCTCTAGATGACTCATCTGTATATCTTTAGCCTCAACCTCTCCCCTGAGATCCATTTACATTTCTGTCTACCTACTGGGCAAATCCCCCTGGATGACCTGCCAGCACCTACAATTCAACATGTCCCGAACTGAACTCATTCTTTTTCGCTAGAAATTTGCTCCTCTTCTTGCCTTCTTTCTGTAACTACCCATAGTTAAAACTTCAAAGTCATCAGATTTTTGCCTGTCTTTTATTACCAATATCCAAACCATCGAGAAGTCTTTGCAACCCTACCTGCACGATATCTAAAGCATCTATCACTTCCCCTTCTATTTCCACTAAAAAAAAAAATCACTATATCTTTCTTGGATTATCGCACCAACTTTCTATTCAGTCTACCAGTTCCCACCCTGAAGCTTCTCTAAACAATGCTATACATCACAGCAAGATTTCCTAATGTAAAGACCTAATCAGATAATTTCAGTGTTCAAAAATCTTGCTACCCGCATCCTACCAAAAATACAACAAATACATTAGCCTTGCATTCAAAGCCCTCTAAAATTTCTCTCAAACCTATTTTCCTGCTTTGTTTTCTCTACCTTCACTTACCTTCTCATACCCTTCAACTCTAACCAAAACAGATTATTTATTAATTTCCATGCTCCACACCCCCCAAAAAAAATCCTCACCACCATAGTTTTGCTCATACTATCCCCTACAACTACAATACCCACATCCTTATGCCTGTTGAAATATTATCAATGCTACAAGAACTACCTTCAAAAACTGTGAGACTTTCCCTAATCACCACAAAATAATATGATTCTCTCCCTCCCTTGTATTCTCATAGCACTGTATTTAGATTTCTCTTATGCACTTAGAACACTCTGTTTTCTATTACATTCAGCCTATTGCATTGCCCTATCTCTGCTAGTACATTCTATGCTTCTCAGGTTAACTGAACTGAATGTGTTTGTGTTTCTTTTTTTTTTAATCTTCCTATCTCCTTTCCCTAATGTCTAACACACAGAGGTCTCAAAGGACCTCTGGGTCCAAGGACTCTGGGAGCCCCTGAAATTCTTGGGGAGGGTGTGGAGTTAAGGGGGATCCCTATGGTCAAAACTATTTCATAATAAAACTAGGATGTTTTAATTTCTAATATGATAAATATTGGTACATATAACCTACAGAACTAAAGGCTCTCTGGAGTCCTTAATAATTTTAAACAGTGCAAAGGGGGTCCTGATAACAAAAAGTTTGAGAACCTCTGGTGCAGTGTAATGCCTTATATAGTAAACACTTAATGTCTGTGACTGCTTTCTATTGATTAAAGGTCAATAATAAAGAGAAATGATGTTTAGCTTTCAGTCCACATCCAGTGAAGAAGGGGGAAGGAAGAAAAGGGAGGAATCTCATCTCAAAATGCCTTTTTCAAAATGGGGAGAGAGGCCTCACAGTTTCAAGACAGAAAAGAGTGCTTGTGGTCACTCATAGACCAGAGCACAGGCAAGGAAAGGAGTAAACACCTCACCCTTGATCATAGCACCTTGGAAGAACTGAAAATTTACAGGTCCCTAGAAGTATCTCTGAAAACAGCTGTACAAAACCCCTGAAGCTTGGGACAGTACATTCTCCACACTGGAAACAGACTCCTACCTTAACAAAGAGTTTATAACTCAAGTAATTGACCAGGATCATGAGCAAGCAGAGCAAAAAGAGTCAAACTATATCATCTTACTTTGGTGACAAAGAAGATCAAAACATACAACCAGAAGAAGACAATGAAGCCAAAGCTCCTACATCCAAAGCCTCCAAGAAAAATGTGAATTGATCCCAGGCCATGGAAGAGCTCAAAAAGGATTTTGAGAAGCAAGTAAGAGAAGCAGAGGAAAAACTGAGAGTGATGCTAAAGAAGACCCAAAAAAATACCGAAGAAAATAACACCTTAAAAATTAGCCTAACCCAAATGGCAAAAGAGGTACCTTGAGAAATCAAGGTACTGTAACACTAATCCAAAGGAATGAAAAAATAGAAGAGAATGTGAAATATCTCATTGGAAAAACAACTGACCTGGAAAATAGATCCAGGAGAGAGAACTTAAAAATTATTGGACTATCTGAAAACCATGATCAGAAAAAGAGCCTAGACATCATCTTTCAAGAAATGATCAGGGAAAAGTGACCTGATATTTTGGAATCAGAGGGCAAAATAGAAATTGAAAGAATCCACCGATCACCTCCTGAAAGAGATCCCCAAAGGAAAACTCCTAGGAATGTTATAGCCAAATTCCAGAATTCCCAGGTCAAGGAGAAAATATTGCAAGCAGCCAGAAAGAAACAATTCAAGTACTGTGGAAACACAATCAGGATAACACAAGATTTAGCAGCTTCTACATTAAGGGTCCAGAGGGCATGGAGTATGACATTTCAGAGGGCAAAGGAGATAGGATTACAACCAAGAATCACCTACCCAGCAAAAGTGAGTATAATCCTTCAGGGTAAAAAAATGGTCATTCATTGAAAAAAGGGACTTTCAGGCATTCCTGAGGAAAAGACTAGAGCTGAACAGAAAATTTGACTTTCAAATATAAGACTCAAGTGAAACATGGAAGAGGTAAACAGGAAAGAGAAATCATAAGAGACTTAATTAAGGTTGAACTATTTACATTCCTGCATGGAAAGATGATATTTGTAACTCATGAGTCCTTTGTCAGGATTAGGGTACTGGGAGGGAAAAAATTGATATGTATGTATAGATAGACAGATAGATAGAGGGCACAGGGTGAGTTGAAGATGAAGGGGTGATATCTGGAAAATAAAATTAAGGGGTGAGAGAGGATTATACTGGGAGAAGGAAGAAGGGAGAAGTAGAATGGGGTAAAATATCTCACATAAAACAGACAAAAAAAGGCTTTCATAGTGGAGGGGAAATGGGGGAAGGTGAGAAGGAATGAGTGAATCTTATTCTCATAGGATTTGACTTAAGGAGGAAATAAAATACACAATGGGTTATGGAAATCTATCTTACCCTAAAGGAAAATAAGGTGGGAAGGGGACAAGAGAGCAGGGGGTTGATAGAGGGGAGGGCAGATTGGGGAAGGGGATAATCAAAAGCAAACAATTCTGAGGAGGAACAGGGTCAAAAGAGAGACTAGAATAAATGGGGGGTAGGATAGGATGAAGGGAAATATACTTAGTTTTTCACAACAGGACTACTATGGAAGTGTTTTGCATGACTACACATCTATCACCTGTATCGAGATGCTTGCCTTTTCAATGAGGGTGGGTGGGGAGGGAGGGAGGGAGAAAATTTGTAACCCAAAGTTTTAAAAACACATGTTAAAAATAAAAAATTAAAAATGAATCTGCTAAATCTGAAAAAAAAATGGGGAGAGAGGGAATTGCCAGTAGGACCTAAAGTGTGAGAAATTAAAACCACTCCAGAGATGCCCCAGGGCCAACACAGAATAGGCTGCTTGTCACCTATCCATGTTGCCCCTATTATCACGAGGCATACATTTTCAAAAATCCCCAAAGGATTGGGAAGAATGAAAGGTAGCCAGGTAGAAAAAGAGTCCCCTTAATAAATTGTGCATGTAGTTACAAACAGTTATAGTGATAACAATTAGCTTTTTACTAAATAGCAAATGTGAATTTGGCAAGCTCTTGTTTGTTAGAAGCTTGTGCAGGTAAAATTACCAACAGAGATAAGAAAGCATTTGTATTACAACATTTCACTAGTTTAAGAAAGTTTCTTTTAACAGTATCTTCAGCTTAAATAATTCGAGTCAATTTCAAGATCATGACAACTGATCAGATGTATAAAATTACAACTGATACATATCCCAAATACAGTCTTCAACTTGAAAGAAAGTCCATTCTGCAGATGTGGAATAACCTAGGCTATTTTTCATTTGGTAGAGTAAATCTTTTTTTTTTAATTTCTCTCATGATCTTCTTAGACATTAAAGTTAGATTCTACTATAATAATAACAATCTATTATATTAACAATCATCCCATAGTATTTTGGTAACTTTGAATGAACACTTCAGTGACAATGAGCGATGAATTTTTAAAAAAGGATGCTAAGAATGTCAAAAGACAAATTTAGACTATTTCCTATAATGGGCTTAAGTTATATTAGTACTTCTATACCTTCTAAGAACACAAAGTGTTTGCACATTACGGGTAGTTCACACGACTTTCCCATTTGTGAGCACACCACTTCAACTGAGACAATGTTATGGAAATACAAATGAAAGGCAGGAAGAAAAGCATGATTCCAAAAACATAAGGCCTTTTAACAAGAGAATACACTTGAAAGAGCTAAGCTCCTCTATGAACACTTCAACACATTTAAAAATTTTTAAATCGCTTATAAAGCTTTTAAGAGACAAAATAAGACATAAAAAAGAGAAAGTGCGTGAAATAAAAATAATAATTTCTCTTAGAAAAATGGGCCATTTCTTATTCATGACCTTAAATTTGAATGTTAAGTCCCATTCTGCGAAAAAGCAAAATATTTACCTTAAGATGAAACAGATACTTACTAATACTTTAAACACTCAATGCCTTGTACTTACCACTGTTGTAACTACTGCTCAAGCTATATATAACCTGTACCCTTCCTCTTGAGTGCTTCATCATGCTACCTTTCCCTCAAGATACATCATGAAAGTGTTTTCTTTTTGGAGGCAATTGGGGTTTAAGTGACTTGCCCAGGGTCACACAGCTAGTCAGTACCTGAGACCAGATTTGAAATCAGGTCCTCCTGATTCCAGAGCCAATGATAAAAGTATTTTAAAAGCAATGACTGAGGCAGGATATGAGCCTAGGTGTTCCTAGGCTTCCTGTCCACCACTTTATCTACCATATTATGCTATCTCTTACATTAGAAAACCTCTATCAGCCTCAGTTTCCCCATGGGTAAAATGAGGATAATAACTGTACATCCGTCAAGAGTTGTCACAGAGTTCAAACAAGATAAAACACATAAAGCACTTTGCAAACCTCAAAGTGCTATAGAAATATCTGTTGGTGATGATGATGAGAATGATGATGACAATGGCATTTAATATCTAAATGGACCTGTGATCTCACTGGTTTGGGAGCTCTGTACAAAGCACGCAGCTGTCCATGTCAGTTCATCCAGTTATCATTTGGTCATGTCTTCCCCAAATTTTACAACAGGGGTTCCACCCAATATGCTGGCAATATGTCCCACTTTTTCTAAAATCTCTAGGGTACCAGTGGAACACTCTGTCTACCTCTCATCCCTTGCTCTTGCCATATGACCAGCTCATCTTCTCTTCCTGTCATATAATTCCACAATGACATATCCTTTACTCCTGGTTCCTCAGAGTTCCTCACTGGTTATGTCGTTACAACCTGTTCATATTCAGCATGAGCCTCCTCATTGCCTTCTGTGCAAAACTCATCATTATTTTTTCAGATGCAATGATAATCCGTTCTTTACATAGAGTAACACCACTAAAATGTTAGCACTAAAAAGACGAGCCTTTGCTTTCATGGGAAGTTTAAGGTCAATTAAACGATTCAGCAGCTTCCCAAAAGCAATCCAGCCTGCTCTTTTCCTTTCCAACTCCAGGCCCAGTTCACTGTGCATTTCATTGTCTGTAGCAGATATAAATAATGTTGGACAAGCTCCGAAGTATGATTTTAGCTACACGGTAGAAAAAGAAAAACAAGAAACAGATTTTTCTTCAGCTCAAGATAAGAAAATGTCAAAGCAAAAAGATTAGACTAGAAACATTTAGGGTTCAATGAAACTAAAAAGGCTAAATATGGGACACCTGGCATTATGAACAAAACAAAAGAACATTTAGGTAGCCCCTACTATGTGCTAAGTGATATATATAATCTCACTTGATCCTCACAACAACTATTTTTTTTTTCCTGAGGATGGATTTTTAACTCAGGTCTGACTCCAGGCCTGATGCTCTATCCACTGTACCACCTAGAAAGAACAAATGGACATAAGAAAACAAAAATCCATCAAACTGAACAGTAATAGCAACTCTCATTTCTTTGGTGTTTAAGGTTTAAACCTTATGAGGGAAGTAGTATAAGTATTACTAACTCTGTTTTATGGATGAGGAAACTAAGGATCAGAGAGGTTAGATGTTATCACTATGGCAATGTAGCCAATGAGTGACAGAACCAGGACTCCAAATCCAATGATCTTATCATCCTTTCACACGACCGTGTCAAGATCACAGAAACTAACTAGGCCATAAAGCTACTACCAGGAAATATTCCCTGGGCCATTTTACTCTTTTCTGCTCAGGCTTGCTTTTGTAAAACCAAGACAAATACCAGACAGTCCTTACCTCTTTAAGAAGATTTGTGACATATTTTACATGCAAAAATTCTGGAGTCTTGTCTAAATCCAGCGATGGCCTTCCTTTGATTGCTTTTTCAAAATCCTTTCGGTAAATTTTCTGTTTCAGAAGACAGAATAGCCACCCTTAGTTTATGAAATACTAATAGCTATTGCAAATACGTCAAGTAACAAATCAGCTGGACCCTGCCATACTTCTCCTAACTCAGGGCCCTTTCATCAACAGGAGGGTTTCAAGCTTCTGCTAAGATTTTTGATTACTGCTTCCCATGATTAATTTCACTGTTGAACTAGGGTGAAAAGCAAAATGAAAAACATTCATTACCCTCTTTTTCTCGTGGCAAAGTAGCCTGAGTGAGGCTACTCAGCATCATATAGCCATGATTGCATGACATCAGAACAACTGCTCAATTAAGTCTAAAAATTCCATGAAAAAGAAATCAGTCAAACTAGATGAGGGCTTAGCTTGATGGGTCATTTCAGCCAAATGATATTGGTAATCCAGAGACCCCATGTGGACGCAACCACTCTAAGAAATCCTGATGGTATCCAAAGTCTTGGTTTCCCCCTTTTCAAATCTATAAATGAGCATCTCAATTTTAAAAAGTATTACGAGTAATTTCCTCCTTGATGCTCATGTGCTTTGGCAACAAATATATTGAAGATCAATTGGTAGAAACTGGACTAAATAAATATTTGTTGATTCACTGATCTAGATGTATTTTCCCTGAAATCAGAAAGGGAGTTCTATCAGTAGTAAATGACTAGCAGCATGTGTATTGGGTCCAGTTAGAGCAGTTTTTACAATGTTGTTACTAAAAAGGAGACATAGTCCAGAAGAACCATCATGCTGTTTCTTTCTCTTGATCTCACTACTAGTAAAGACCACTGACACCTCCAAGGTAAATCTGATATTTTTAAATTAATTTTATCTACCCAGTATTTATACCCCTTACTACGGAAAGGCCCAGCCCAAGGATGTTGTTCACGGGCAAGTATTCGTCTGTCTCCTCAAAAGCCTGGTAAGCTGTAGCGTGATAACCAAGCTTAAAACAGTGATTGCTATAAGCTAAACAACAACAACAAAAACCCTAGGGTTCTCTTCCCAAATCTCCAATCCTTGATCTTTCCTCCTTAAACCACAGGAAAAACACTACATTTTAAAATAGGAAAAAAAAATGGAAAGTCGATATTAAGCAAAGGCCCATGGAGCCCAAGAATTAAATCAATTCCTGTGAGGGTAATAAATCCTGTGCAGAAGCTGCCAGTGAAGAGAAAAAGTCAAGGAGAAATAGAGGTCATCCTCACAGCTGAGCACAGGGTCGCTAAGACTAATTCTGCTGACACCAAACACCCAATCAATTCATATTTTAGAAAGTAAACCAGGTGTATGTATGTTGTCATACAGACAAACCAGGAAATTAATGGAATTGTTCACTCTTTAATGATCAGGATGTCTTGTTTGGTTGGTTTAGGCACAGATATAGTTAACAGCAAAGTGAAGTTTAAAGGAAATTTTCCAGTGTTAGGCAGGAAAGTATGTGTACAACCAAACTAAGTTAACAATTCTAAGAGCTAAACATCCTCTGGTATTCAAAGTCTATCTATCTGTCTGTCTGTCTGTCTGTCTGTCTCTCTCTCTCTCTCTTTCTCTCCCCTCCCTCTCTTATCCTTCCCTTCCTTCCTCCCCATAGGTATGTATGTGCATATATTTAAGTATGTATATGTGTGTATACACACACACACACACACACACATTCCCCTTTCAGGTCTTCTTACATAAGACACCACATCTCCCAACATTGGGCATTGTCTCCAGCTGTTCCCCATGACTAGAATGCTCTAATTCCTCTTCTCCAGCTCCTGGATACCCTGACTTCTTCCAACTCTCATCTAAAATCCCTCCTTCCACAAGAAACACAACCCAATTTTCCTTAATTCTAGTTCCTTCCTCTTTCCCGGTTTAACCTTTCTATAACTTAACTTGTTTGTACACAGTTGTCTGCATGCCATCTTTCCCATTAGACTGTGAGGTCCTTGTGGGCAGGGACTTTCTTTTGCCTTTCTTTGTCCCTAGGATTTAGCACATGCTAGGTTCTTGATAAATGTTTATCAGCTGTTAAAGTCATTTCATGTTTTAAGGCAGGAAAGAACAAAATATTCACATGAATACTTCCAGATGGAATAATTTAGGAATGGGGAATCTATTTACTGTTGAATGTCCGTTGAATGCCCTTGACCCACAAATCAATTCAGAATCACACGGAAGTAAAACAACTTAGTTAAACTGGTTTGTGGTTTAATTTCAAGGTATTTGGAGAAGGAGGGAAAATGAAGGGAGGAAAGAGAAAAAGAAGGGGAAGAGAAGAAATAGCAAAGAAGGTCAATGGATGGAAGAGAGAAGATGACAGATACCAAGGAAATGAAAAAGACAGAGAGGGAAAAGAGAAGAAGAAAAAGAAAGGGAGACACACAATAAATCCTGAAGTGCTAATAAATTACCCTTTGATCACTGGTGTTTCAAGATGTTACCACTTATTCACTGTTGTTTGAAACGTTAGTTTGCAGATTAACTCATAGAGCTTTCACTTCTCTTTATCCTTAGATCTTCCAAAAATCCCCTTTGGGTGGACAAGGGCAGGGGAGCTATAGTGCCAGTAACCAGAACGCTGCAGTCCATGCAGGTACAATGACACCTGGAATTCACTCTTTCTAGAATAATTCACTGAATAAGGTTTATATGCATGCTTTGCTCTTTGCCTGGTAGAGGTGCCATTACAGAAATAGTTAAGGGCAGGGAGAGAATTATTTCACTAGTGTGGGGAACTTCTACTGTAGAAGCTCCTTCTGCAGATACAATTATACAAATTTATAGGAAGCTGACTGAGGCACTTCAGTTTAAATGACTTGCCCACATCATACAGATAGTTGGGCATATGTTGGAAACAGGAAGGGAACAGAGGCCTTCTGGCATCTAACTCGGACAATCGATCCACCCACCATGCTATATCTACTTTATAAAATGTTTCATATAATCATTTAACTGCAGTCATTTCCCCCAAGAATTAAGACTTCTGACTGCTTGACTATATCTATACAATGTTGAAAATTTGTTGCTTTTGTGAAGTCAGTTAAAACAAAAAGTCATTTCATGCAAAGATTTGGTCAATATTGTTATTCAGTATACAAATAAAGTAGCCAGTAGATTGACTATACTTTCTTTTTTATGTAGTCATCGTGGAGAGTTTTGTTTCTTTTCGGACCGGACCTGTGATTTCATTGGTCTAGAGCAGCGATTCTCAAACTTTTTTTAAGGAGTCTACAAAAAGCTTTTGTTTATGTGGGTTACATCTATTGAATCGTACTGAATTAGAAATTAAAATGTTTTAGTATTATTATGAAAATAGTTTTGACCTCATGGATCATCCAAAAGAGTCATAGGACCCCAGTAGTCCCAGGACCACACTCTGATAACCTCTGGTCTAGGGAACTCCAGGTAAGGAAATTCCCTCTATCAAGCCACAGCAACACTTGTACTACAACTTAGAATTTATAGAAGTGCCTGAGGTGCATAGAGGTTAGTGATTTCCCTAGAGTCACAAGGTAAGTAAGTGTGTGCTAGAAGTGGAACTTGAATGCTGGTCTTCCTGACTCAGCCCATGCAACCTTTAATTGCATAAAGAGCCCTTCCTTAGTATTTCTACATTTCAATGAGCTGTGGTTTCATCTCTGTATATTCCTTCCCATGATGAAGAAAATACCCCTTCTGCAACTTAACAGATAGTCTTTGAGAGTTGCTACAGCTGACAAATTCATCACCCTGACCCACCTGAGCTTGGCTATACTGGTCCTTAGATGACCAATATGTTGTCCATTCCCAGATGTGGAGGGCGAAGCCTTTTTAGCTTGCTAGGACTTGTCAGAGCTTACTCTGAACATCACAATAAATGAGCAACCTAAGGAACTTGCACCCGAATCAAATAAACAAAAAAAAATACCAACCTCACTTTGCATTTTTTGAGCCTCCTTGGAAGTCTGATAAGATGGAGTATCCACAAATTCAAGCATCGATTTGCCTTTAGCTTTTTCATATTCTTCTTTGTACTTAACCTAGATGGTTAAAAAGTTTCCATTATAAACTATAAAGAAACCTCTTCATTTTAAAAAAAAAGATTGTTCATAAATTATATGGGAGGATTGCACACATATAATCTATATCAAACTGTTTACTGTCTTGGGGGGAGGGGAGAGAGGAAGAAAATTTGAAACTCAAATGTTTTTTAAAATGAATGTTAAGATTATTTTTACATGTAACTAGGAAAAAATAAAATACTATATAAAAACTAATAAAAAAATAAGAAACTTTTGATACAGAAAAAATTATATGGGAATAGAGCAAATTAATTTGGGCCATAGTACATCTTTAAAACTATTAGATAGTTGCCCTCATTCTTAGATTTATAGAATGCTTGAGCTGAAAGGAACCTGAAAGATTAAGCAAAGCATAAAATTATAGATCATAGGGCTATAACACATTCCCTGTTTAATTCAGACTCCTGGTTTCAAGAAGGTTAGGTATTTGCATCCTTATTTTATGATTGAAATAACAGAAGCCCATGGAGGTTATATGATTTGTCTGGGGTCACACAGCAGGAGGGGAACGAGAAGAGGGTGTGAAATAGAGAACTGAAACTCAGATGCTGCCTCATGGAACAGTGTTCCCTGTATCACACCATACTGCCCCTCTAATAAAAGTAACAGAATGGCATGAACAAAAAAAAATGTTAATATGTTGGGTAAGCATTAAATTAACATGCACTGAAAAATAAATCATCTTTTTAAAATAAAATCTAGTTATAGTAATTCTAATTATTTAAGAAGTCCTTTATTTGTGCAAAAATAAAAATGTCTTCCATCTATACCCCAAACCCCAAGAGAAAGTGATATGACATTTTCAGGAAATTATATATCAGACAGTGTATCAAGGGAAGAATTAATATATCATATTGGTTTTTTTTTTTAAGATGTGACATGAGAAACAATTTTGTATTATGACATATACAAAAGAACCCATTGCCAACATAAATAACATGAATGAATGTAACTTTTAGGTCACACTGAACTTCAGTAAATAGTACATTAGTACATCACATAACAGGGAAGAAAATATGAACCTAATTCCTACCCTGATGTCATTGGGGGGAGGGGAGAAATGAAAGAGAATATGTCACAGAGACCATATAATGTTCTTAATAATGCTCTAGCTCAACTCTCTAAATTTAGGGGGATCTTAAATATAAACTGAGACAGGTTTACACAAGATCTCATGCAAAAATAGTCATTCTCTGCAGAAGCTGCCCTGCTCATAGATTTTCCAAAAAAAGTCATTGCAGAAGTATGCCAAGGGAAGGGCTAGGAGCCACACTGAATAGATACCCAGAAGCTTTCATGATGCCTTTCCCCAAGAGAAAGCTCTTGAACCCCACAGCAGCTCTGGAAAAGGGATTTCTCTAACTAGACACAAGCATTGTTCAAGAAGAAAATCTGGGAGGGAAATGGAAAATGGTACATTCACAAATGGTACATTCACTCCTCTGGTACATTCACAAAGGCACATTGTTTTGTGCTCCCAGGTTTGAAGAAGAGTTTTGAGTAGAAACATGCATCCCATGTAAACAGAGATTTATTCCTCTTGAATACACATGGGACGATAAGCAAAACTGGAAGAGACATCATAGGATATCAGTCAAATCCTTCATTTTACATATAAGGAAACTGAGTAAGAACAGACTAGCTGTTTACGTTTCATGGTATTTTAATTGGATGATCTTTTCTCAATACTACTATGCAATTTAACTGAAAAAAATTTAATAAACCCTTGGTTCCTACCAAAATAATTCTAAAGCTCAAAATTCAATGTTAACTACCTTATTCCACAAACTGAAGTTCTATGTAGAACCATAGATTTTCAAGGAGCCCCAAGTATTTACAAAAACTGAGTCTAGAAAATGCCATTTGAGGTTTGCTAAAGAGTATCTGTTACTTCCAAACCCATCCTAACATCAGAAAGTCTTTACTATGTCTTTTTTTGTTTTGTTTTGATGGAGTCATTACCAGTCTGGGGAAATCCCTCTTAATTTGGTAAAGAAGTATCCTATTAAATCCATACCTGACTCTGGAGCGCTGTGTTGCATTTATGATGAAGGTGTTCAGCTGTGTCCATTTCAAAATGATAACTTCCTTTGCTTTCTTCAAATACCTTCTTATATTCATGCTAAATAAAGAACATGGAAATGCATTTAAAAGACACAGGGGGAGGATAGGAATTAGATTAATGATTTCACTATGACAGGAATTCCCACTTGAGGAAACCCCATCTACTAAAATAGAGAAGTACCTTCACTATACCTGAAAATCTTAGAGAGTGCCTGGAGCAGTAAGGGGTCAAGGCACTGGCCCAAGGTCACCCATCTTGTATGTGTCAGGGACAAGTCTTGGGCCCAGGTCTTCTTGGCTAAAAAGTCAGCTTTTTACCCACTAAGCCACAAATGACTCAAATGTTTGAAATAAAAGGGATTAATTCATAATAGCAATTAAACACTGGACTGAAATGAAACATTATCAAATGGCATTTGCCAATACATAGGGATTAATTACTTGGAGATATGATTTGCATCACATTCTACATTTAAACTCCCTACCTATAATCCAAACCAGACCTGCCTGCCTTCCATGGACACACACACTCACACACACACACTCACACAAAACACAGACATACATATGTGAAAGAATTGTCTGATGGTGTCAAATCCAAATAGGAAGGATCCCTGTGGGCCCCATATTAACTTAGGAAAACACAAATTAATATTATCTATATTGTGTTATATTTTTATTTATTTTGTTAAACATTTCCCAATTACATTTTAATCTAATTCTGCTGCACTTGGGAGTTTTGCCAGTTGCTTATGGCCCTCAGGCTGCAATTTGACACCTCTGTGTAGTCAATCCTTTAAATAAACTACTAACATAAACATTATACACCAGAGAGAATTACAATGATATTAAGTAATAATAGAAAGAGGTCATAATTGAATGTTCAGACTTTTAAAATGTTCCACTCTTTCAAGTGAATTTTAAAAGATTTTGGTTAAGTCTCCCTTCCAATTCTCCTAGGCTACAATTTAAATTATGCCTTGCTGGCATGTACATATTATATACAATATGTATATTATGTACAATATGCCCTATGAGATTTTAAACTCTATGAGGGGAAGAATCACTTTTTATTTAGTCTCTATAACTTTCCATAGCACAACGCTCTGTACGTCGGGCAGAGAGAGGGGTAGGGGTGGTACTAGACTTGTGATTTCATTGCTACAGGGAATATCCAGAGAAGAAATTCCCTCCACCAATGCAAATCATCAACCACTCTAGAAACGATGATCTTAAGAGAATTGCCTAGAAGAGCCAAGAGGTTGAGTCATTTGCCCACATGTGTCAAAGACAGAACTTAAACCGAGTTCCTCTTGACATCAAGAATTACTCTCTCTGAGCCTCTCTCTGCCATCCACTCTTGCTCTTCACACAGCAGGTGCTTAATAAATGTTGGATTTATTTAACTAAATTGGTCAAAGATGGATTCATAAAGTACAAAAGCAACCGGAGAGAGGGAAGGAAAAAGCAAAAGAAAGAAGAAGGAAGACTCCTTAACTGGCTGTGTGACCCTGGGCAAGTCATTTAATCCCATTGCAGTGGTGAAAAAGGAGAAGAAGAAGGAGGAGAAGGAGAAGGAGGAGGAGGAG